GGAGTCTTTTTATAGTGTTTTTTACGATGTTTTAGATAATTGTGTACCGAAAAAGCGGAAAATGAAAGTAGATCAAAGACATTACCCCGAGTGGTATACTAGTGATTTAATTAGGGATATAAAATTAAAGGCTAAGCTTCACAAGCGATATAAATCGACCGGATCTCGTGCTGATTACGAAGCTTTTTCTACTTGCAGGGCGCGAATTAAGAAAAGTATTGATAGCGCATACCTAAACTATCAGAATCGTGTGCAAAGTAACTTGGCAAAGGATCCTAAGTCTTTTTGGGATCATATTAGGGCAAAAAAAGGGGCAGTTAAACGTAAACAAATATTGAAAGATGGAGTAGCATTGTCAGATCAAGAAAGTACGACTGAATTTGCCAAATACTTCTACTCAGTATACAACAGCGAGCCAGCACGTCTGGACGTAGGCGAGGCGGTGGCGGCTGGCGGCGCGGGCAGCGCGCGCGTGCACGTGCCGCAGCTACAGCTCGGCGAGGTGCGCGCGGCGCTTGCCCGGCTCAAACCAAAGCGCTCGGCGGGCCCGGACGGTATACCGGCGTTTGTGATGAGAGACTGCCGCTCAGTGCTAGCGGAACCGTTGTTACACATTTTCAACTTATGTCTAAAGAATTCATATTTTCCAAAAAGTTGGAAAATCACGCGCGTTATTCCAATACCTAAGGGGGGTAACAAATCTACGATTGAATCCTTCAGACCAGTGGCGATTCTCTCAACACCTGCGAAGGTGTTTGAGGGAGCCATCCAGCGAAGTGTACGGGAACAAGTTGGACCGCAGTTATCGGACGCCCAACACGGCTTCCGGACAGAGAGGAGCACAACCAGTAACCTCTTAAATGCCATGACGTATTTAGTTCCTCATGTCGATGCAGGGTTGCAGGTAGATGCCGCCTACTTTGATTTCAGAAAGGCGTTCGACTTGGTAGATAACGATATCCTATTGTCAAAGATGGCGAAAATTGGCTGCACACCTAAACTGCTTCATTTTTTTGCGAGTTACATGAAAGATAGAAAACAGTATGTGGAGTACGGTGGGTACCGGTCGGAGCCTTACTTTACTAGATCTGGTGTGAGCCAAGGCAGTAATTTAGGGCCGTTAGAGTTCAACATAATGATTAACGATTTACCAGAAGTAGTAAGAGAGGCTAAGTGTCTATTATTTGCAGACGACCTAAAATTGCTTTTAGCCATCAAGAGTGAGGATGATTGTAGCCACCTTCAGCAAGATATCAACCAAGTAGTAGAATGGAGTCACAAAAATAAGCTGCAGTTTAATATTTCAAAATGCTCTATTCTATCATTTAGTCGATCAAGGGCACCACTCCATTACAACTATAAGGTGGATGGCGAGCTAATGAAGAGGGAGGAATCAGTCCGGGATCTTGGGGTACAGATGGATGTCAAATTGACATTCCGGGAGCACATCTTGAACATATGTAAGAAATCTTATAAACGACTAGGATTTATCCTTCGCAGAGCAGTAAATTTTACCAACATAAAAGCCATCTCAGTGCTGTATGATGCTCTAGTAAGGAGTCAACTGGAGTGTAACTCGGCAATATGGGCTCCACATGAAAATAAATACAGTCTTATGCTAGAACGCATTCAGAATAAATTCACGCGATTTGTATAACAGTGGTAGAGTCACGCGGCAGCTTTTTCTGTCGCACGGATGGGCCGGCTCAAACCGGGGTGGTACCACGACCTCACAGAATACCAGCGTGAAGTAGAGGTTTACCTCTGCGTTTCGCTTGGTGAGTGCAGGTGGCCGGAGGCCCTTTTTACTGGAAATGAGGCGTTCCACCTTAGTCCTCACGGGTGACAACGCATCTACATTTTGATTCGTAACAGACGATAGATGTAGATGTCTATGGGCCGCAGCAACCACTTACCATCACGTGGACTGTGTGCTCGTTTGTCACCCTTATCCTATAAAAAAAAAAAAAAAAAAAAAAAAATCATAAGCTATATGGGGTTTATCCCTTCTATCCCTTGATGTACCCAACCTTGTTTGTTTTGGGCATGGTTGGATACAACAAGTTGGAAACTAGGAGGGATCTGGCGCTGGTAACCTACATTTTAAAGGTGTTCCGTGGTTACATTAGCAACCCGGGTGTGCTGCAGTGGATAGGCTTACGCGTGCCTGATAGATATGTACAGCGGCGACGGCGCCCGAGCTTGTTCGCGGTGCCGCGCGGCAGGACTAAACTGGTACGCAACACCCCCCTCACGCGAACGATACACATACTAAATTTGGTTGCTGAGAAGTTGGACTTATTTTCATCTTCAAGAAGTGAGTTTGCAAAAGTGACATTATTCATAATATGTTATTCTCAAATTGAATTATACAATTGATTGTAATGTGTTGTTATTTAAATTAATTATTGTGTGTTGTAATTACTAATATTATTATCTTTTACCATTTAAATTATTACTTTATGCTTTATGATGTATTCCAGTAACATATTTTAATTGTATTATTATTATTATTATTTTGAATTGAGATGCTACATTTATCGATTTAGGTTTTTCCCTGTAATGGTAGATGTTAGTAGGAAATATAAATAAATAAATAAATAAAAATATCGAGAGGAAACCTCCATGTCTGAGAAATAAGAAAAAAAATATTTCGAAGACATGTGAAGTTCGCCAACAGGCATTGGGGAAGCGCGACGGACATTTCCTTACCTTAATACTTGTAAGAAATGAGAGGAAGCCTGTGCCCAGTTGTGGGGTGTATATAGGCTTTGACTTTTATCTAAATAAATTTTACTAATCTGTATATTATAGTTATTGGACATCCGATTATAGTAAATACTCGTAGTTATCCAGAGTCCGTATATAGCTATCGGACGCATGTATGTAAATTTTCAGCAACCGTATGTAGTTATTCGACGCCTGTATTTCGCCTGTATTTAGTCCGTATTTACCAGATTTACTTAAATCCTTCCTTAAAGGATTTTTCATTGAGTTTATTGATATTATGACATATTATAGATTAAGTAAAGATAGGAGAGATACCGTCATATACATAGTAGGCTCTTGATAATGACAGTTGAAGAAGAGAGAGACCTAGAAAACGCTTATGAGATGACTTGTTTGCCTATGTTTTCATGTTGATGGAGGTGGTTACTGACAGAAATTCATGGATGGAAACGGGAGAGCATGCTCGAGCAGGGTAGATTAAAATAAAGAATAACCACATATTAGTGACGCAGAAACTAGATTTTAACAGATAATTTAAATTATCATGAGTAAATTTTTATTCCTATAGTTCTTAATTTACCTTAATCCTTTCTTTACGTTTATAGTTTATTATTACAATATGTTTGAGGGTTTTAAAGTAATAAAATAAGATATACCTACAGGCCGTTGGTTTAACTGAGAGATCACACTAAATTTGTTGTTTGTTATTTGCAAAAGATGGATAAGGTCGAGAACTACGGAGCGCACCCTTAATAATGGTAGTTGAAGAGGGAGACCTAAAAAAGCGTACGAATACGAGACGACCTGCTCTTATATACTTGATAGTGATACATAGTGTGAAAAAAAGGCCGAAAATCGGACGTTCTCTTTTTATTCCATTTTCCCGAAGTATTCATCACAATAAATGTACTACGAGTACACTCATTTACTGTCCAAAGTAAAATAAAACAAGGTAATACTTTATATTTACTATTGAATAACTACTCTACTCGACAACCGGAACAATACCAACATCGTGATCTTTCATTAAAAAAAATTCGGTTTTCTCTCTTTTTTTTCAAAACGTTACCTACACAATAGAATTTATTAGTTTGGATGTTTGTTACTCCTTCACGCCACAACGACTGAACCATGAAAAATGAAATAATTTTTTTCAATCTAAACGTTCAAACTTGTAGATCAACCGTTAGTAAAAAATAGTAGTTCAGTGGATTCAATTTACACTGACTTTTCAAAGGCGTTTGATAAATTCAACCATAGAATACTCTCGACTAAATTGGCCGCATACGGCACACATGGTAATTTGTTGCGATTGATAATTTCATATCTTTCTAGGTGCAGTCAGATTCGCATTTAATCGTTTCCTGATCGAACCTGTTCTCGTAACATCCGCGGTTTCTCAAGGTTCCCGTCCTGGCCCACTATTGTTTATTATATGCAAATGACATGAAAGTATTCCTTTTAATCAATGATGTTAGTGACTGTCCTTTGTTACAACTTGACCTTAACAATTTTCATACTTGGTGTTATCATAACAAAATGTGCTTGATGTATCTAAATGTTATTGTGTAACTTTCACAACTAAGAAACCTCGACTGTAGTACATATTATACTATATTATTGATCATCATTGTCTGAAAGCAATGTTGCTAAAGATTTGGGCGCTTTCTTTGACTCAAAACGCGGTTTTAAGCAACACTTGGATCACTTAACGCAACGTGGTTATCAGTTAGTTGGTTGTGTTATATGAGTTAATATGAAGGAATTTCAAAAGAACCCTTAATTTAAAGTTCTTGCAGTAACGACACGTCTTTCTTTAATCTCCTCAATATGTAGAAATTTTAACGCGCTGAGATATAGAAATGCTGATCTGGACATTTTCAATTCTAACATCTCACAATTTAGAAGACATTATATAATATGTAAATTTCACGAATAAAGCAATTCTATTCATACATTATATAATATGTAAATTTCACGAATAAAGCAATTCTATTGTCTACAATCATGCTTATACGTGCCTAATAATAAGATAAAAACAAAATAATTGTACACTTTGTTACCCACAACACTGTAAGAAGGTTGTGCATATCTTTATATCTTATTAGCTTATTACTTAATAGTTCATTTACAAGTACCTGCCGTTCTTTATAAGTTCATGTATTGTGTTAAGTATGTATTGATTAACTTGTTATCTCTCATGATAAGTGAATTGTGTTCTTTTTGAGGAATAAATGTTTTAAACCCTAAAATGTCCGTGGCATAGTGAGATGGGTGCAGCTCGTGGGGCGTCATTGGCGGCAGTGTTCCCGCAGGCGGCGCTCAAGGCGATGTCGGTGCGCCTGCCCGAGCGCGACGACGACATGCTGGCGCTGCCGCACGTCACGCGCGCCAACTACGACAAGTACGGCGCCGGCCTGCTCGCCATCACCGCGGCGTATGCGGTCGAGAAGATGGGTGAGTCGCGCACACACGCACACGTACACACGTACACACGTACACACGTACACGCACGCACGCCAACTACGACAAGAACGGCGCCGGCCTGCTCGCCATCACCGCGGCGTATGCGGTCGAGAAGATGGGTGAGTCGCGCACACACGCACACGTACACACGTACACACGTACACACGTACACGCACGCACGCCAACTACGACAAGTACGGCGCCGGCCTGCTCGCCATCACCGCGGCGTATGCGGTCGAGAAGATGGGTGAGTCGCGCACACACGCACACGTACACACGTACACACGTACACACGTACACGCACGCACGCCAACTACGACAAGAACGGCGCCGGCCTGCTCGCCATCACCGCGGCGTATGCGGTCGAGAAGATGGGTGAGTCGCGCACACACGCACACGTACACACGTACACACGTACACACGTACACGCACGCACGCCAACTACGACAAGTACGGCGCCGGCCTGCTCGCCATCACCGCGGCGTATGCGGTCGAGAAGATGGGTGAGTCGCGCACACACGCACACGTACACACGTACACACGTACACACGTACACGCACGCACGCCAACTACGACAAGTACGGCGCCGGCCTGCTCGCCATCACCGCGGCGTATGCGGTCGAGAAGATGGGTGAGTCGCGCACACACGCACACGTACACACGTACACACGTACACACGTACACGCACGCACGCCAACTACGACAAGTACGGCGCCGGCCTGCTCGCCATCACCGCGGCGTATGCGGTCGAGAAGATGGGTGAGTCGCGCACACACGCACACGTACACACGTACACACGTACACGCACGCACGCCAACTACGACAAGTATGGCGCCGGCCTGCTCGCCATCACCGCGGCGTATGCGGTCGAGAAGATGGGTGAGTCGCGCACACACGCACACGTACACACGTACACACGTACACGCACGCACGCCAACTACGACAAGTACGGCGCCGGCCTGCTCGCCATCACCGCGGCGTATGCGGTCGAGAAGATGGGTGAGTCGCGCACACACGCACACGTACACACGTACACACGTACACGCACGCACGCCAACTACGACAAGTACGGCGCCGGCCTGCTCGCCATCACCGCGGCGTATGCGGTCGAGAAGATGGGTGAGTCGCGCACACACGCACACGTACACACGTACACACGTACACACGTACACGCACGCACGCCAACTACGACAAGTACGGCGCCGGCCTGCTCGCCATTACCGCGGCGTATGCGGTCGAGAAGATGGGTGAGTCGCGCACACACGCACACGTACACACGTACACACGTACACACGTACACGCACGCACGCCAACTACGACAAGTACGGCGCCGGCCTGCTCGCCATCACCGCGGCGTATGCGGTCGAGAAGATGGGTGAGTCGCGCACACACGCACACGTACACACGTACACACGTACACACGTACACGCACGCATGCCAACTACGACAAGTACGGCGCCGGCCTGCTCGCCATCACCGCGGCGTATGCGGTCGAGAAGATGGGTGAGTCGCGCACACACGCACACGTACACACGTACACACGTACACACGTACACGCACGCACGCCAACTACGACAAGTACGGCGCCGGCCTGCTCGCCATCACCGCGGCGTATGCGGTCGAGAAGATGGGTGAGTCGCGCACACACGCACACGTACACACGTACACACGTACACGCACGCACGCCAACTACGACAAGTACGGCGCCGGCCTGCTCGCCATCACCGCGGCGTATGCGGTCGATAAGATGGGTGAGTCGCGCACACACGCACACGTACACACGTACACACGTACACGCACGCACGCCAACTACGACAAGTACGGCGCCGGCCTGCTCGCCATCACCGCGGCGTATGCGGTCGAGAAGATGGGTGAGTCGCGCATACACGCACACGTACACACGTACACACGTACACACGTACACGCACGCACGCCAACTACGACAAGTACGGCGCCGGCCTGCTCGCCATCACCGCGGCGTATGCGGTCGAGAAGATGGGTGAGTCGCGCACACACGCACACGTACACACGTACACACGTACACACGTACACGCACGCACGCCAACTACGACAAGTACGGCGCCGGCCTGCTCGCCATCACCGCGGCGTATGCGGTCGAGAAGATGGTTGAGTCGCGCACACACGCACACGTACACACGTACACACGTACACGCACGCACGCCAACTACGACAAGTACGGCGCCGGCCTGCTCGCCATCACCGCGGCGTATGCGGTCGAGAAGATGGGTGAGTCGCGCACACACGCACACGTACACACGTACACGCACGCACGCCAACTACGACAAGTACGGCGCCGGCCTGCTCGCCATCACCGCGGCGTATGCGGTCGAGAAGATGGGTGAGTCGCGCACACACGCACACGTACACACGTACACACGTACACGCACGCACGCCAACTACGACAAGTACGGCGCCGGCCTGCTCGCCATCACCGCGGCGTATGCGGTCGAGAAGATGGGTGAGTCGCGTATACACGCACACGTACACACGTACACACGTACACGCACGCACGCCAACTACGACAAGTACGGCGCCGGCCTGCTCGCCATCACCGCGGCGTATGCGGTCGAGAAGATGGGTGAGTCGCGCACACACGCACACGTACACACGTACACACGTACACACGTACACGCACGCACGCCAACTACGACAAGTACGGCGCCGGCCTGCTCGCCATCACCGCGGCGTATGCGGTCGAGAAGATGGGTGAGTCGCGCACACACGCACACGTACACACGTACACACGTACACGCACGCATGCCAACTACGACAAGTACGGCGCCGGCCTGCTCGCCATCACCGCGGCGTATGCGGTCGAGAAGATGGGTGAGTCGCGCACACACGCACACGTACACACGTACACACGTGCACGCACGCACGCCAACTACGACAAGTACGGCGCCGGCCTGCTCGCCATCACCGCGGCGTATGCGGTCGAGAAGATGGGTGAGTCGCGCACACACGCACACGTACACACGTACACGCACGCACGCCAACTACGACAAGTACGGCGCTGGCCTGCTCGCTATCAAGCCCCGTATACACTAGGGGACATTAGGTCCCGGAACATGACGCGGAACACTCAATCTACGTGACGATGTAACGTTGCACAGTGACTCGCAACATGGCCCGCAACATTTTACGTGAAGCGAGACATGTTGCTTGTTCCCGCTCCGAGAGCGAGCGCACGTGTCGTCTGATGTTGATGAGTGTCGCGACATTTGTTACCGGGTGTAGTCGTGAGTTGAACTTGCCTGTAACATGTCAATAGTAACAGTGGGGAAACGAAACCTGAGCTTTATACCAGAGTCATGTTTTATTGTGGGATATTTCAAACCACATAAGTTTGTGGTACTATTATATATAATAGAATTCTATAAATATAAAAGAATATATAGAAAAGTGTACGACAAGGAAGAATAAGAATCTCCAGTCGACAATTATCTTAATGCAATGGCAAGTCTGATATGAGGGACAACAGCGTGTCGGTAGTATTGTATCTTAATATACAGAATAAGGGTGACAAACGAGCACACAGCCCACCTGATGGTAAGTGGTTGCTGTGGCCCATAGACATCTACATCTATCTTCGTTTGCGAATTAAAATACAGATGCGTTGTCAGCCGTGAGGACTAAGATAGAATGCCTCTTTTCCAGTAAAATGGGTCTCGGTTCAATAGCATTAAGCTGCTATTTTACGCTGGTATTCTATGAGAGCGTGGTCCTTCTCCGATCGAGCCAACCCATTCGTGCTACAATTATACTATTAGCTGCATATGCTATATAGCTGCAGCATGGTTCTACCACGTAAAAAAACATTAGTTATAAAGTTTTAAAATCAGTTGTTAATATTCGAGTATAATTTACAAAAAATCCGGCAGACATTCGGAAATCACTTAAAATATTAATTGTTCTCTTTCGCTTACGTTTCACTCCCGAAATAAGTACTATGTACGCAAAACTAATCGCCAAAACCTCCTCGGGCGACATTTCTATAAGCACTGAGTGGCCAAGTGACCTGTAAAATGTTCCGCCACATATGTCTCGGGACATTCCACGTATAGTTGTTGAGCGACAAGTTGCACAACATGTCTCTCCTTTTGTCCCCAAGTATATCCAAGACTTCACCGCGGCGTACGCGGTGTAGGCTGTAACTTTGACGTTAAGATTAACCCAAGGATCCACTATTACCGTCATTCATATAAAATATGAATTCGTGCGATCTTTTTGACATTTCCTGTAGATTTAGTAAACTATTTTAAAGCAATAAAAATATTTTTAAAACTTGCAGGCTTACTGATGCAATACCAAGATGAACTCGAAGCTGAGAAGAAGAAAGAGAACGACTTCGACGAAGATGAAGATTCGGAAACGGACTGGAGCCACGTGGCTCGTAGTGCGCAGTCCGACTGCAGTCCTGCGTCGCGCACGCGTGCCAGCAACTTCCGTGGAAATAACTACCGACAAAGGGGCGGAGTTCGGAAGAGGTAAGTCTAGGATTAAAAAGTAACAAAATAAAATATATAAATATAGTTAAACAACATACGAATACCAATGTGCTTTTAAATGGGGAGGAGTTAAGTCTTGTGGATACCACTGTTTTTTTTTTCGAGTTACTATTGATGTGAATATCCAATGGTACCCTATACTACTGCTAGATAGATTGTATGACATATCAGCAATTGCATACTTTCGGTGGCTTTGAAAAAAGCCGTTTGGGTTTGATGGAGTGAAAGAAAAAGATATTTACATACAATACAATAGATGACCAAAAGAAAAGCATGAACAAAGTAAAGTACAAACAAAAAATGTACAAAATTAAAAAAATATATATTAATATTCTAAATCGAATCGTCTCTCTTTCTTAAGGAAAGATTTGATTAGGTCCGCGTAAAATGTTTGTGAACGTTTTAATTGTACCAATAACTGTTTATGTGGATATGAGCTGTTTCTCACCAAAGTTTAAAGATTTTACCTTCTCCTCGCCCATTAGCACTTTAACACACTTCAATTCGTCACAAGGAACACTATTATCCTCCAATTTCACTAAAAATCTTTAAAAAAGCATAAATTTTCAGCTCGCAATATTCATTAGCTCAAGTTAACACACAGAGTTAACATTGAAATGTGAAGTGAAGTTGCAAACGTATCGCCCGCGCGCCCCTGCGCTCGACTAACTTCACACAAAAAGCCCAGCTTATGGCTCCATACTAATTGCTATATAAACAATCGTAGTTATATTTCATTATAGAACATTTTGCAACAGGTTAGAAAGGGAACGATCGTCTTATCGAAAGCCCTGTAAAGCCCTGTAAAAAGCCCGGTAAAAGGTGCGAGTGCGATAGAGACGAGTAATTATTCAACTCAACTCCTTTTTTACGACAGTAGTATCGCGCAGTAAAGCAATCTGCTAAGTGTTGACGTTACATAATAAGGCTACGAAGTCATGACCTGTGTACAACAGAAGCGAGAGAACGCGCGAGAAATTTGAAATAGTTTGAAACAGTTTCCGAGTTATTTTATTAGTTGATATTACTGATTGAGCAGTTTGATAGGGCAAGCCCGCCTTCTCGGCTTCTATGGAGACTTCGCTACCGGTCATATGGAGTTTTACTGTGTGTTACCGCGGCTGACATTGAAACCATATTTGTTTTGCATAATTCATAATTAAAAATTTTGTACAACCGACTTCAGTATAAATTATTAAGGATAACTCAAAAACTATTGGTCAGACCTTGTTCAAATTTTTTATATAGGATCGCATGAGAAACACCAGCTTTCAGATAAAAAAAAGAATCATTGAAGTCGGTTCACCTAGATAAAATTTATGAGGTAACATACATAAAAAAACAAACAGTCGAATTGAGTAGGTACCTCCTCCGTTTTGAAGTCGGCATAAAAGATTCCTCAGAGAAAAATTTTAATAATTAAACATATTAACGTTAGCATCACAATATATTTTTGAAAATGTAATGTACTTGTATGTAAATAAAATCATGAAAAAGCTTTAATATGCATTGTTCATACTTTAAATGCTAGGAACAAACACAAGCTTGTAATGCTCTGTTTTCAGTCTTCGAAGAAAAAGAAAGGTTGGGGAACAGGGGAAAAGAATTTCAGAGAATGTATAAATAGCAACATTTTATTTTGAAAAATGTCTGTTACAATATTTTACAAAAGATTTGTCTCTTAAATAAGACTTTAAAAAATTATGACAGTGCATTTTGTCAAGTTATGAATCTAATGAGATTATGAGGCTGAACTCACTAATAATAATAATTAATTTGACATACATATATATATCTCTCCGCTCATGTCTTGCTGTTCCACAGGACTATGAGAGTAAGGGAATAGAGAGTGTACCTGTGTTTGCGTATACACTTGTGAGATGGCTAGTATTCGTTAAAATTGGTCATATTATAGATCTAGAAACTTTGATAGTGTGCTTTTAGGCTTTGATTGTTTTTCGGTGCGTATACGTTATTATAGCGCGACGACAGTGCCGCTACAAGTTGATAACTTTATAAGTTGTTTGTATCCGTAAGTTGTAGCTGCGGTCGAAATCAACGGGACGATATCTGGCTGCTACTGCGTTTAGAACTGAAAACTTCTTTAGAATCGTTGTGATTCGAAACTCGACGAAACGAACTCGATAAAACGACACTAAAAAGAGACAAACATATACATCTATAGAATGAGATAGAATACAGTGCTTCCTATTATGTCTCCTTTTCTGTAAGTTTAACTTCTACCCTGTGTGAACTGCACACATATGTTTTTGTCCAGGTTTAAACGCACACACGCACACGTACACACGTACACGCACGCACGCCAACTACGACAAGTACGGCGCCGGCCTGCTCGCCATCACCGCGGCGTATGCGGTCGAGAAGATGGGTGAGTCGCGCACACACGCACACGTACACACGTACACACGTACACACGTACACGCACGCACGCCAACTACGACAAGTACGGCGCCGGCCTGCTCGCCATCACCGCGGCGTATGCGGTCGAGAAGATGGGTGAGTCGCGCACACACGCACACGTACACACGTACACACGTACACACGTACACGCACGCACGCCAACTACGACAAGTACGGCGCCGGCCTGCTCGCCATCACCGCGGCGTATGCGGTCGAGAAGATGGGTGAGTCGCGCACACACGCACACGTACACACGTACACACGTACACGCACGCACGCCAACTACGACAAGTACGGCGCCGGCCTGCTCGCCATCACCGCGGCGTATGCGGTCGAGAAGATGGGTGAGTCGCGCACACACGCACACGTACACACGTACACACGTACACGCACGCACGCCAACTACGACAAGTACGGCGCCGGCCTGCTCGCCATCACCGCGGCGTATGCGGTCGAGAAGATGGGTGAGTCGCGCACACACGCACACGTACACACGTACACACGTACACGCACGCACGCCAACTACGACAAGTACGGCGCCGGCCTGCTCGCCATCACCGCGGCGTATGCGGTCGAGAAGATGGGTGAGTCGCGCACACACGCACACGTACACACGTACACACGTACACGCACGCACGCCAACTACGACAAGTACGGCGCCGGCCTGCTCGCCATCACCGCGGCGTATGCGGTCGAGAAGATGGGTGAGTCGCGCACACACGCACACGTACACACGTACACGCACGCACGCCAACTACGACAAGTACGGCGCCGGCCTGCTCGCCATCACCGCGGCGTATGCGGTCGAGAAGATGGGTGAGTCGCGCACACACGCACACGTACACACGTACACACGTACACGCACGCACGCCAACTACGACAAGTACGGCGCCGGCCTGCTCGCCATCACCGCGGCGTATGCGGTCGAGAAGATGGGTGAGTCGCGCACACACGCACACGTACACACGTACACACGTACACGCACGCACGCCAACTACGACAAGTACGGCGCCGGCCTGCTCGCCATCACCGCGGCGTATGCGGTCGAGAAGATGGGTTAGTCGCGCACACACGCACACGTACACACGTACACACGTACACGCACGCACGCCAACTACGACAAGTACGGCGCCGGCCTGCTCGCCATCACCGCGGCGTATGCGGTCGAGAAGATGGGTGAGTCGCGCACACACGCACACGTACACACGTACACACGTACACACGTACACGCACGCACGCCAACTACGACAAGTACGGCGCCGGCCTGCTCGCCATCACCGCGGCGTATGCGGTCGAGAAGATGGGTGAGTCGCGCACACACGCACACGTACACACGTACACACGTACACACGTACACGCACGCACGCCAACTATGACAAGTACGGCGCCGGCCTGCTCGCCATCACCGCGGCGTATGCGGTCGAGAAGATGGGTGAGTCGCGCACACACGCACACGTACACACGTACACACGTACACACGTACACGCACGCACGCCAACTACGACAAGTACGGCGCCGGCCTGCTCGCCATCACCGCGGCGTATGCGGTCGAGAAGATGGGTGAGTCGCGCACACACGCACACGTACACACGTACACACGTACACACGTACACGCACGCACGCCAACTACGACAAGAACGGCGCCGGCCTGCTCGCCATCACCGCGGCGTATGCGGTCGAGAAGATGGGTGAGTCGCGCACACACGCACACGTACACACGTACACACGTACACGCACGCACGCCAACTACGACAAGTACGGCGCCGGCCTGCTCGCCATCACCGCGGCGTATGCGGTCGAGAAGATGGGTGAGTCGCGCACACACGCACACGTACACACGTACACACGTACACGCACGCACGCCAACTACGACAAGTACGGCGCCGGCCTGCTCGCCATCACCGCGGCGTATGCGGTCGAGAAGATGGGTGAGTCGCGCACACACGCACACGTACACACGTACACGCACGCACGCCAACTACGACAAGTACGGCGCCGGCCTGCTCGCCATCACCGCGGCGTATGCGGTCGAGAAGATGGGTGAGTCGCGCACACACGCACACGTACACACGTACACACGTACACACGTACACGCACGCACGCCAACTACGACAAGTACGGCGCCGGCCTGCTCGCCATCACCGCGGCGTATGCGGTCGAGAAGATGGGTGAGTCGCGCACACACGCACACGTACACACGTACACACGTACACACGTACACGCACGCACGCCAACTACGACAAGTACGGCGCCGGCCTGCTCGCCATCACCGCGGCGTATGCGGTCGAGAAGATGGGTGAGTCGCGCACACACGCACACGTACACACGTACACACGTACACACGTACACGCACGCACGCCAACTACGACAAGTACGGCGCCGGCCTGCTCGCCATCACCGCGGCGTATGCGGTCGAGAAGATGGGTGAGTCGCGCACACACGCACACGTACACACGTACACACGTACACGCACGCACGCCAACTACGACAAGTACGGCGCCGGCCTGCTCGCCATCACCGCGGCGTATGCGGTCGAGAAGATGGGTGAGTCGCGCACACACG